AGAGTGGTCTCCATATTTTTCTTCGCTTTTTTCTTCCCTGGAGAGTCATTATGGGAACTATCGGTTATGTAGAACGCCATTATCCACAATGTGCAGTCGTGGGGTTTGTATTTAGGTGCAAAGCAGTTCCGGGGTGAGACCCCGAACCGATTTGTTAACCGACGGCAGTTCATTCTGAGATAAAATGATCCTTCCAAGGTTATTGGCGTCCAAGATTCTCTTTCCCTCACGGAATAGATGGCACTTGGCTTACCGGGGCTGACATAAACAGTAGCGTAATTTTAATGTGACTTTGTCGTGCTCACATTTCTATATTATAGTGTTTTATATTTCTTCATGAGAGCCTGACACGCTCTGAACCATCCGTCGAAGGGATACAGCCCGATTTCCGATATTCACTTGTTTCTCTACTTTATTTTACTTGCTAACAGAATCCATCAGCTGTCAGCAGTCTTAAAAACATGTGGTTTCAGTGCAGCGCCTATTTTCTTGTGTCAGGGTCATTTTGAGGGTCTTCGCTTGTTCGCGAGAACACTGCTTCATTGGCTTCATCAGGGTCAACATACAGCAGATGTTCTGCGGCAGATCTGAATCGCATATCCTGGAACTCCGCAACGTCACTTTTACATGTACGGTGGATGGCGAATCAAGGCAGGTTATCCTTTTTTTATGTTATATTACCGTACATTGAGAAATTCCTCTGTGAACTAAAAGGATAAAGTCTTCGCCGTTGATCAATCCCTTTGTGGGATGCGGCACGCATTCTACTTCCATTCAGAATCGTAGTGGCTTATTGAATGCGATGTGGCCTATACAATGACTTGCGGGGCCAGCCGATGTACAAGTCAGTGTTCTTATCCTCCCAGATGAAATTGGTACCAATTTATATCCCCAGAGGGTAGAAGGTTTAGTTGCTTGGGCAGGGAGCCGATACTCAACTCTGTTTCTGTCAAATACCGTGCCAAATTTAGAAAAAATCAAACATGTTCAGCTGTTCTTCCCTGTTCTCGCCACCACAAATTGTCCGCTTGCTAAGCGATGTGTCATTCGAGGCCGTTTCTGGAGGAGTTCACGCCTTGGTTGGTACTGCCGGTAGGTGTTTTTCTTTTTTTCGGTTGAAATTTTGTAATCACCTGATCTTCCGATAATAATGAACCATGAGAGACGACGTTGTTTTGTGGGGCGCACCTCCAACTAGATCAAACATTCTACCGAAAAAGTGGGACGGTTTTCTCAAAAGAGAAACGAGATTGACCTGATTTTGAGATCATTGTGAAAAGTGGCGGCTTTTCACCTATGATTTCCACTCGTGAGGTGGATTTATTGCAGTTTCGAGAGCACTGGCTATAAACATATTATGAAAAGTGAAGGATCCGTAAGAGTTCAATGCGGATGCTCGGTAAAAACTGTTACGATCCACTAGTTTCAGTGCATTCTAGTATCTGCGGATGGTTTGATTGGAAATGGGAAAATTTCAATTTAGGGCCTTATCTGTTCTTTTATTAGCTGTTTAACAATTGGGACACACACAGGCTTCCTCATCAGTGCTTCATCGATTACTGAACAATTTTGGCGCACGCCAAAATTGTTCCAGCACTGATGAAAACGCCAATGCACCGAATTTTTCCAGCTTGGTGCACTTAGTGCAGATGTAAATAGCCTGTACTGGAACCCTCACTCCATGCTTTCTAGCAGTTTTCTATCACCTTCACAAGTATAGTCAGTCGCTGCCTATGCTCCTCTTCAAAGGCATAATTGTTATACCTGGAAGCCATTCACGGATATAAGTCCATGAGCTGATCGTGACCGCGTTCATGGCTCGTGTTGAACCCACTCTCAAGGCACTGTATGGTCGAGTGCATACCCTTTGCTCAGCCTTCACAGTTTTCGCTGTGCTAATTCAACGAATTTGTTAGATGGATTTCTTTAATGGTATTGACCTGATGTTTCGAATAGATCATCGTTCTCGTGGTCAGAGATCTAAGCATGGCTCCAGGATTAGACCTCTATGCAGCCGAGGGGTTCGGCTGCATAGAGGTTGCTCTCTCTATGCAGCCGAACCCCTCGGCTTCAGAGCGTTTTTGATGAAATACAGGAGAACAACAGAAAGTCAGCGAGCCAAACTTACCACTTCACCACCGCTTCGTGGAACTCTGTCAGGAGGCTAGAGGGCCGAGACGTTTCACGGCACTATATGATGCAACTTCCCAAAGATGTCACAAGGATGTTGAGCTAAATTTGTGGGCGAAAGTTTGTGGCCCCAGACGGAAAAAAAAAACCCTTCAATACCCACAAACCTACCCATTACGCTTACCCAGGAAGCCGCTACTTATCCTCTCAGTGAAGAGAGAGTTTATTCCAGAGCCTTACAGCACTCACACATTTGACATGTTTATATAGTGAGCATGAAGGCTGTGAAAGCTCAACAACCCCCCCCCCCCTCATTCCCCCGTCCCCTTCATTGTCGATATCTAACGATACGGCTGAGCGGCGCTGGTAGGGTAACTGATGGCGTTCTCGCCCCAGAAGCGTGAAATGTGAGATTGCGTCCCGCCTTGGGTAAATAATTCTGGCCGTATTTCAGCACAGTTCAGCGTTCTTGCGATACCTTTCGGAGCGGGACCTCGGCGTTAAACAGCAGCTATCATAATGAAGCAACTTCTTCAGTACGAGCAATGTTAATCGCCTTCTGAAGGAAACCTCGGGTAGAAATATCTGGAGGACACAACGGTTATGGGGTAAATAAACCGAGGCGATTCCACAAAATCTTCCCCCCTCAGTTATCCATTAAAGGGATAAACCATTCTCCTACTCATCAGAATGCAGGATGTCACCGTAATGAGTCTGACCACGAATTTTCCAGGCAGCGGCAGGAATCTGCTTCTAGAGGTTATCAGCGGTTCAGCAGATGGCGACACTGCAGGCAGCATACAGCTCAACAACTACCTCCTTAGTAGTAAGTTTAGGCTCACTCTTTCTTGTGAATAGGGCATCTAAGCAAGTTTCCCTATTGATGCTTCCCATATTTCCCAGAATGGCAACTTCTCCCTGCACTCGTTTTTCTTTCCCCTTGTTTACTTATTTTTAGTGCTTTGAAGGCGTAATCTGCCTCGAAAATTTTTGCATTGGAGGACATGATGGAGCGGGAAGTAGTGGGAGCGTTGAGGTCAGAATATTGGGAAAATGCATCTTTGCGCGTGCGACCTTTGGAGGCTGCGAGCCGATCTTCTAATCGGCGCTCTTATCTTCTCAGGAACGAAAAAAGGAATTGACCCATCTTGCAAAATTGCTGCGGTTGACAAGTGCAAAACTTGACGCTGCGGAGCTGAAGAGGATATGGTTTTTCATCGCCCGAGGACAATTGACCTTGCTCGCATTGCGCCACGCATGCGACCTGTTCTGAAACGCCACATCCATGAATATGTGCTTTTCCTTTTTTGATGTCTTTATAGTTTAGACGCTAGTGTTTTGCCATTTGGGAGAAATTTTTTGGAGAATATCATAAAGCAAGCATAGCAGTACGGGGGTTTCCTAGTCACCGGTGACTCGAAACAGGATTTGGATGACGGGTCATGTGTGCATTAGCGCCGTCACTTGTCACTGCTCCACCCTTGCCTTTCTACACTTCTTATCTGTGAGACGGAGTAGGCGTGGTTTTCAGACATTTTATAGGATGGATTAATCGCGGCATGTTTCAACTTGAGCCAACAGCCATCTTGTTCTGGGTTGTGCAAAGACATCACCGCGTGTCGTAGTAAAAACATTTTACCGGAAGCACAGCCAACACACCTTTACGTTTTCTCTGTTGAAGTGCGAGCCACGCCTACCACAGGGATTTAGGGATTTCGAGTGTAGACAATATCGTCGCAATCATTCGCGGCGTTGTCCTCACAGATGAAGCGAACCTGCCCCGGATAAGTTTTCTACGAGTAGAGGTTAGTGACCGATCTAAGGATAAAGGAGCCAGCAGTAAAACCGTCGCAGGGGATGGGCTCAATCGATGCCTCACCGCTCTGGTTGGTTGCGACGGTATCACTGTACTTCCTCAGGACCGAGTCTTGAAAATTTGCAGGCGAAAGATATCAACAAGTGTGCTCGTTTCTGTCCGGTCGTCAGTGGTGTCCAGGCTTCATGACAGTGCGCTCATTTCTCTATTACACCGCTGCTCTAACCTTCGACAGCTTCCTTCCGAGAAAAGAAATTGACAAAAGGGTAAGACATCAGGTTGTTGCTGGCACCTCACCTTTGTCTACACTTTCGACTTGTAGGTGCACATGTTAATGCGCCAATTTGATCTGCTGGGATACGGCCATGAAAAACTTCTGAACTTATCTCCTAGTGCTCAGAGACGAGCCCTCATCGCTAACGCTCTCGTAAAAGATCCAGGTGACTGAATTTTATTTCAACATTTCATTTTTCTTTATGCAGCAAGAATCCAAGAGAATACTTTAAAAAAATGCCAACGGCTTTTTCTTGAGAATGAACCAGTTAGCTTGGGTTCATACTTTGCGGCAGCGTCCACCAGCGTTCTCTCCTATCGCACTGTACTATCAGAGTCTGCTGCTGATCGCTGGTGGACGCTGGCAGACGCTAGATCGATATCTATACTTCCTAGTCGCTGACGCTGCCGACGCTCGGAACGCTGGTGGACGCCATTGGTCGTTGGTGGACGCTGCCGTAAAGTATGAACGCAGTCTCAAGAGTGTACCACTCTGTCACATATTTGGCGGCTTATTTCACATTGTGTCATCTACCCATGCCGAGGTTTTGACCATGTAGAATTACAGTGACTATAACTGCAAACGAGATGACTTGTGGGACGGATTGGATTGCAGCTAAAGCTGCCTTTTCGTCCGGTCGATGCAATCTTGAACCCGCAGCAATTGGTGGAGTATGCAGCCCTGACTGCGCTCCAATTCCCGCCCCTTCAAAACACCTTTTCGTTTGCAGGGCTTATTTATTGGCAGTGGATGTTGCGAAATTGCACGAATTCCCACATAGCATACATAAATATATTTCCCTATATGATTCTTGTATAAACTCCTCCCTTTGCAGTGTTGTTAATCGTAGAGGATCCGTGTGACGGTTTGGAGCCGATCTCCAGTTTTCAACTGATGTACTGCTTGCGAAACTATGCAGCTGAACACAATCGTATTGTGCTTGTATCTCTCAGCAATCCCCGGTCTGATCTCTGTCAGTTAATTTCTAGTGTAACCATATTATTCCGCGGAGCAGTACTCTACTCAGGTAAGAGAATTTATGTGAAGTTATCTATTTGACAGTTAGTTGGAAGAGTTGAGGAATTAAATAGGAACTAGGGAGGCGTTTATCCCAGAGGTAAACTTGATAACTGTCAGGTCTTCTCAATTTGAAAAGTGGGGGACTTTGTACATGCAGAACGAATAAAAACAGACAACAAGTAACAATTCGGTCTTTAGCTGAATAGGATCTGTTAGTAGAGATGGCCGTCCCAGTACCGAGGCAGTGTTTGGACACCCCTAATCTCCCAACAAGTGCAAATAAGATAGCTGACATCATCGCAATGAAAGGGAGCGGTGTTAAGGTGAAGTGAGCCCCTCCACCTCCCCACCTTACCTCGGCTGCCTTTTTTATTCGTAGTTATCGTTTAGTGATCGATAAAAGGATAAAGTCTTTGCCGTTAACCAATCCCTTTGTGAGATGCGGCACGCATCTACTTCCATTCAGAATCGTAGTGGCTTATTGAATGCGATGTGGCCTATACAATGACTTGCGGTGGCCAGCCGATGTACAAGTCAGTGTTATCCTCCCAGACAAATCTGGTACCAATTTACCCCCGGAGGGTAGAAGGCTTGGTTGGCCTGGGCGGGAGTCGACCCGGCATTTGGTCCCGGCATCGCGCGAGTGGTAAGCGCCACTTGTCACTAACGGCCACTACGATTCTGAATGGAAGTAGAATGCGTGCCGCATCCCACAAAGGGATTGATCAACGGCGAAGACTTTATCCTTTTAGAGATCGATATAGGAGGAAGACATCGACGCTGGTGAGCTCATTCCATGCCTCTTGACATCGCTCCGACTGACCACTACGAAGTTAAAGTTACATGTAGCAACTGTTTAGAGATCCTTTTGCTCCCTTACTGCTCGCTGCTCCTTATGTCGTAGGCAGTCACAGTTAGGCGAATCCGTATCAGTGGAGATCAGTACGTTCCATACTGCTACACTTCTAGCAAAATATTCTCAATTCGGGACCGTGGTCATACCGTGACTGAGTACAAGGCAGAATGATACTTGCCTCAAATGGGAGTATGCCACGTCCAGTGTCATGTTTAACAGAAGCGCGGTGTCACGCCCTATCCATCTCTGGGACTTTAGTGTTCTAGCTAGCTAGTGTTCTAGCTAGCCCACTGCGTTTTTTATTTCTGTCGACCAATGGTTTTTTCGGGCTTTCAGACGACCTTAATCTTGAAACCGATCAATGGTAAACCTAGGGCTTACGTAATATTGTAATATGGGTCAGCAATTGAGACAGATGCACACGCAATTGCCTGACTGACCTACAGATTATTCTCACGGTTGCCTATCTCAAAGGCTTACGAGCAGTGTGGGGACAAACTCCTGAGTGTGGAGCAACTTGTGGAGCAGTGGGTTGAAAATTACGAACTTTCTTCAGGAACATCACACACCAGCACAAATGATTTGGGTTATGGAAAGTCGAGCAATAATTTGCAGAAGTGAGGTGGCTCCCAGTGAAACAAGAAACCGAAAGAAACACCATAAACACCCCAATTATCCCCCTCTCAACTATTGTAATCGTGATCTCTAGCATCGTGGTTCGCCGTGACGAAACACATAGCATAGGGACCAGATAACGAAGATTAGAAGAGCACATACTTCTACTATGCGTTGACGTCCAGCATCTTTAGCTCTATAAGTGCCTGAGTTCAGCACACCATTGCGTCCACCAACTTTTCCCCCAAAACTTGTAAGGAGTGGATGGGCGAATGGGGCGGGGTGAGGGGTAGACGCGTCTAATTAACAGTCTAAATATTTTGTAGCGCCGCCAATTAGGTGGCGTTGATTCTTCTACTGGCTGCTAGATTCTACTTTTATAGAACTACGGCAAATACGATGGAAAAAGGGCTTTACTCCCGCATTGCGTAGACATTGATTTTCAAACTTTTTTGCTTTCATAATGGATGCAGTAGGGATCAAAGTACAGGGGGGGGCAAAAAAAGTCACTTTCCTTCATTGACTTTCGAGGCGCTATAAGTTACACTTTATTGAAATTCTGATCGGACATTTTTACCACCATATTAAAGAGCATGAGGCGGAGGTGGTGTAGTGACAAGTGGCGCGCTCACCACTCGCGCGGTCCTGGGTTCGAATCCCAGGTCGACACCCCCAGGCCAACCAAGCCTTCTACCCTCCGGGGACGGTAAATTGGTACCAGATTCGTCTGGGAGGATAAAACACTGACTTGTACATCGGCTGGCCCCGCAAGTCATTGTATAGGCCACATCGCATTCAATAAGCCACTACGATTCTGAATGGAAGTAGAATGCGTGCCGCATCCCACAAAGGGATTGATTAACGGCGAAGACTTTATCCTTTTATCCTTCACTAAAGAGCATGTTAAATAATACTATCATGACCCTCCGCTACAGCCTTCTGGACGAGCGCCATCGAGAGATTCTGGCACGCGACCGCGATGTGGTGCCTGAGATCAGCGAGATAGTCGATTTCTCCGCCACCGTAGACCACCCTATTGAACTCCGCCCGAACCGGGTAATTGAGGGGATTCAGGTCAGGTGACCTACTTGGATATTCCACCTTCTTTAGGTATTCAGCCCCCTTCCATTCCAAGTAGGCGAGAGTTTCTCCAATGCCCTTCGATTCCATGGTGGCACCCAATGCTGTAGCAGTACAAAGTTTCCAAGAAGGTACGGGCGACGACATGTGAGGAGGATATTCTTCACGAGTTGCTCGATGTAACCGCCAGCGCTCACCTTCAGTCCGGGGTCCACGAAGAAAATATTGGTCTTTCCATTCCAGGTACGGTCCCATACCATCAACCCGCGCCTTGGCGACTGTGGTGAAGATGATGTCCTAGACCGTGGCGACGTTGTCGGAGCTGCTCGATGTTGGAGGTCATCCAGATCGAGAGTACTGGTCTCCAGGTAGCTATCCATGGGTGACTCCATACTAGAAGTTTCGCAGCTGTTTGGAGGTGACATGAATTCCAAAGGTCTTCTCCAGTCAGGCTGCGACTGGAGATGACTTCATTTTGGTGTACATGAAGGTGATGGGCGAGAGCCAGCTCCTGCTTATCGAGGAACATCTTGGGTATCTTCCGCCCTGGTACTCGTATCCACGTCCTCTGTCTGGGCAGCGAAAACTTTGCTGATATGTGACTCGGTCGAAGTGACTTTTTTGGCCCCCCCTCGTGTGATAATCAGGGGATGCTATGTTTGGTGAATAAGCTGGGTACGGTTGCATTCCCGGACTGAGATCCATTACCTGTTGACATAGCCTAATAGCACATGCGGTCTTCGCCTTGCCGAGGAATAGAAAGAAACTGAGTGTTTCTGGAATCAGCAAGGAAGTCATCCATGTTTTGAAGTTGGTTAGAGTAGACTGTGGCTGTCACTGCTGTGCCAGCATCAAGCGGCATCGCTTCGAAGTCACCAATAACGTAAAATCTTTTTTCATGCACATCTGCTTCAGCTAAGCAGACCCCTTTTCTCCTTATAAGATCCAGTGAACGGTATGCGCATGACTTATTAGGTATGGAACCCAACTCTCGTTTCAACCACAGCATTTCGCAAAAAGCCCTCCCAATATGTAAGAGAAGAGAAGACCACTCGTTGCGCCTTGTCAGACTAGTGCAACTCATGTGGCATCCTTCACAGAGAATTTTCTTGATAATCATGATTGCTAACAAGAAGGATACTTGTCACTTACCATTAAGTGAAGCCTAGAGGTGTTGCCAGCTTACGGGTGAGGTTGGGTGAATAGCCGTCATTCTGTGCTAGTGACCGACCAATACGTTGCCTACCTCCGCCTGAAATACTTGCCTCCAGCTTGCAAGCACTGATGCCAACGAAGCACTGTGGTATGGCAAGCGACGTCCTTCTGAAAACGGTGCAAGTGGCAACTCTCCCGACTACATCGGAGTGGCCCTACAGGGACACGTAACGTGGGATAGGTCGAACAGTAGCATGAGCTTCGGGGTACTTTTAAGCCAAAGCCAATAATGATACCGTCACCAAGACCTCAGAGAACACCTCCCGTTAATCAGATGTGAAAATATTCAAAATGTTTTTGATGATTATTTTTTCCTTGAGCACTTTGTTCAAAGTGACGCAGGACTTCCTATCCAACCTAATAGGAAAACAATAATCGAAAGCCTCCCCCGCCTTTTTTGCTTCGCACATTGAGTGAAATGCCCTGCATGGCCTGAATATTATCTATTTACAAGTCCCTGCTTTACTTGTGGGGCGCCTTCAAGAACCAGAAATTGCATAACTTCTGTGCTGCAGGCCATTGTGGACTGTTGCTTTGATACTTCCGGAGCAGTTGGATTTGGTTGACAATGCTTGCTAAAACGGGGATTTTCAGGACGTGTAAAAAATTTGACCACTTATTTCCGCGACCTTGGCGTTCCTTGTCCAGAAAACGAGAATCCTACTATGTACTATCGTGAGTTTCCATCTTTACTTCTATATGACTAAGTCACTATTATGTGTACAGTTTTGGCATTATTTGCTACTTCAGTAAACTTGTCGATAAGTAATAGAGAAGCAGAAGTGTAGCCAATAGCCTATTTGGTGGGGGTCTTACTCCTCATCAAATTGTAAGTTTTACAGTTTCTCTGGCCACAGCGAGCTACGCTACACAAACTGATCACGATCGGACAGTTGCTCAGGCTCTTCGTTTGATTGATCTGTTCAAGGTGAGTCCGGCTGTACTGCACCTACAGATGTCCGAATCTCATGCAAAAAAGTTGCTTCCACTGGAGGCGTCGCATCTCGTGACTCCCTTTTCTTACAAAGGTACATTATCTCCTTTACAGACCGATTCACCTCCTTTGGTTCCTTCAAGATTCCGGCAGAATGATGTTGAAAGCAGAGGCAATGTGGCGTTATGCTTCCTGCAGAGAGCACCGAGTTCTACTAAATTTCTGGTCTTAATGAGGTGAGTGGAGGTGCAGTCGTGATCCCTGCAATGAGAGAAAGCGTGTGAAGGGGAGTGGATTTTAGCACGGTCAGGGCAGCCTCTTCCAGCTACTGTTGCAAGCTCAGATGCGTTGTTTGGTGCAAAAGGCCGAATGTGCTGCACAGCAACTCCCTCCCCACACTCACGTGCCCTCTCGTGTGCATGGATAACAAGTGTACTCGCCTGAGAGCCAACGGTCAAAAGAGGAAATTGACGTATAGAAGACCACCTTTGATGCAAGATGGTTTCAGGCGTTCATTTGTGGCCATGACTTCATGCCAATACTCCATTCTTCTCAGGATTGCGGCACTTCCAACTTTGATGCTTTTTACGGCACTATTCAGGTACTTTCAGCTACTCTCCGTAAGTGTGCAACGTGATTGGTAGGAAAAATCATCGATTACTGATTAACAAAGTGTGAGCAGTCCTCATGAGCGCAACCGAAAGACGATGGATACAGTCTTCAAGAAAGATCTCTCTAGAATTCTCGACACTGTATCCTAGTCAAAAACCATTCAAGCAAGAGGGATCATTCCGGCTTTCTTCCCCTTTTTTCCGAATTCAAATAAATTGGGACAAAAAATTCGAGATCCATGTCACCTGGAACTAAATCCCGTATTCTTCAAGTTTTTGTACCCGTTCCCTATCGTTTCCTTTTTTCCGCTCTCCGGATTTATGTGGAACCTAGTCACAAATTTTTGAAATTTTAAAGCGAGCTCCGTCCATTTATGGTACGCCCCGCCCCGATATGGGCATATTCACCCTATTTCATGCGCCTACCCATTTTCCGTCCCCTCTTTTCCCACTGTCCGAGCTTATATGGAAAATGATTACGATTTTTTGAAATAAGTGGCTTCTGGCAGAGCGCACACTCCGCCCACAAGGGGCGGCTCAGTTCATGTGTGTTCCGTACATCATGGCGTGCCCAACCCAGCCTCGACTCATTGTCAGCCCCTCTAACTGGCTCCTTAGGTGATGTCCAGTTTTGAGACAGGCAGACGTAGGCGTTTGCATATAGGGCGATGTTTTAGCACAAATCTTCTAACGTGTTCATAGAACTATCCTCATGAATCATCCAGAAGGCATGAAAACCGAATGTTTCAGCACAAATCTTCTGACGGGCTCATGGATCTCTCCTTATGAATCATCTAGAATTCTTGAGATTTCCCTCCTTGTCGTTTATGGTACGAGTTCCTTTCTAGCTCTCATCTGCTGTGAGTTGACTGCGCATTAATTTACAATGCTCTTTATTGATTGCCTGTTTGATTTCATCCATTTTCTTCAGATGAAGGCTTGCTAACTCTCAGTGTTGTCGAAAATCACAGCGGTCTCTATAATAAAACGCTGTCTTTCATGGCATATGTTTTCATGGTAATGGGTATCGACGCCATGTCTTCGTTCCTGTCGGCCGCTATTCTTTTATGGTGAGTCCTCACTGTTCACTACCATCGATGCTACCGAAATCTTGGACAATATTCAAGGCACACAGGGGAAAGGAGGGGATATTCAATGAGCAGTAATGAGTCTTATCTGAAATTCCAATTTCACAACAAGCGCGCTTCTGGCAACTACTTACTGTGTGCGCATTCCTGTCGAGCAGAGCAAATCTAGGACATTATTTTGCACTATTTACCGGACACTGCCCAATCTTTCGAAAAACAGTCCAGTTTACTGACGACTTTTTTCTGCATTGGCAGAAAATGGCCTGAAAATTTTGTACCCTGGGTAGTTCCACCTCCTAAACGATGAATAATCACACCCCGCGGCACGAACCTGCTGCGCCCGCGCCACAGAGCGCCGGCGCCAATTCACCCTTGAATCACCAAAGCCCGCTAAAAACTGCTTCCAGCGGGTAGTTTGAACTACCTAAGACGAATATCACATCCTCTTGACCTGAACGACCTCCTAAGGCTGAGTACAGACGCTGGCAGCGCAAACACCCGGAATTCATCGGCGCCTTATGCGTGGCGCCAAAAGTTTGAGGTCCAACGCGACTTGATGTGATACAATCGTGAGGATTCGTATTCAAGGGGTCAAATACCCCAGGAGCCAAAATTTGGGCAAATCTGTCCAACGGGAGAAAAAGTTGAGTCAGATAAACTGGCTCACATCTGCGACGGTGGGCGCAGTAAAGGGTAAATAGTGGCCATATTTTTGTTACTTCTAGCAGAAGAGCTTGTTAGTAACATTTTCTTGTACTGACGTTTCGACTTCTCGTTTTCACCAAAAGCCCGAAAATCAGAAGAAGAGAAGGTCGTAACGTCACGCCAATAGAAGATTTCATCCAACAACATCGTCTGACAGAAGTAATCAAGTTCGGCATTATGACGAGAAATTTTAGCATCTAGTGCTCTTTTTTGCTTGTCGCCAGCCAGTTTATCTGTAATTGTCTGCGATCAAAATACAAAAACCATTTCATGTAACCTAAATAGAGGAAAGATACATCCACTGAGTACTCGCACGTTATTGAGACCGTACCAGAACAACAGACTATACGGGGTTATAGTCAAACAACCACGTGTGGACAGCGCGTGGGTTTCGCAAGCGCCCCGAATTGGGCAGCGTTCAGACTTCGCGATGACGCGTGTCGATGCGCTGTCGCGCATTGTAAGGCGCGAATACGCGCGCAATTGCAACAATCCTCCAAAGCTGTAGACGCGAACGCAGCTGTAGATGGGAATCGATGGGCTCCGGCTGCTTGTGTCATAGAGTACGGGGGAACAGGAGGGTAGGTGTTGCCTTGTCCCGCAGACTAGTCTAGATCGGCACTGGACGTCTGCGGCTGGTTCGCATCTACAGCTTTGTTGCAATTGTAGCGCGTCAACGCGCTTCATCGCAAAGTCTGAAAGCTGCCCCAGGCAGTCTTGTTGTATTGTTGCGATGGAGGGTCGTGTCAGTGAGGCTAGTATTTGCGCGCAGCCAGCCCATTCTTCGCCAGTTGGTGGGGCAGGTAAGCGACAAAGTGGGGACAAACGACTGATACGAACGATATGAAATAGTTTCCTAGCTTACGTGGGGAAAAAAGGCACCGGACGGCGTCTGGCCAAACCCATTCTCCCTCCCCTTGACATGTCCCAACATCCTCGGCGAAGAAAGCTGTGAGTCACCGCATGCACGGGCAGTCACGGTGCCGCGCGCGGTCACTTAACTTCCGCACGACGCCCTAACGCGGACCTTCTGAGAGTGGTACCTCTCTCGCCCTCCCAGATGTTAAACATTTTTTGAATGTTGGTAGAAATCTATTGACTCTCACTTTTCAGCATGTCAAATATCGCATGGCCAACGACAATTCTACGAACAGCTATTGTGTTTTTATGCGTATTTCTTAGTGCGCACTTTATAACAATGACGGCAATGCTCTACATCCGTGGAAGTCTCATATGTGCAACGCTTTCCCTGTTCGTCCTCGTTCTTTGCCTACTCTTCGGCGGTGGACTCCTACGGTACTGAACTAAGTTTTTTTTAACATTATTAGAACAAATTTCAAATTATACTCCCATTCCTATTTCTTATTTGGAGGGGAAGATATGGAGTTTCTTATAGAAAGAAATTTGAAGGGGAGGGGCGAGAAGGTTCCGCCATGGCAAAACTCTTCTGAGATCCGGTACACATTCCACTTCCTCTGTTTGATTTCATTTGGTTGGACTCGTAATGTGACCTGGAATCGGTTCAGCCCACTCAACGACTTGCACGAGCCAGCCAGAGAGGAGGAAATTCACGATTCAAGAATCTTATCCTTCCACCGGACCTAGGAGGGAATGAAGGTGATCGCCTCAGGCGGGA